TTGTTTGATCTCAATATTAGAATGGGAAATGGCACTTTTTGATTATTTATTTAATTTTACTGTGATGGAAAAGATTGTGTTTCTGTCTTCAATGAACCATCAATTTGGTGGTCTATGTGTTGTTGCTTATGGGATGAGTTTATAATTTGAGTAATGTTCTTTTTTTTTTTTTTTTTNNTCTTCTTCTCCTCGACCACTTGGGCCGACCTTAGGCGGGCGCCCCTCCCAAGTGCAATGGAGGTCGCCAACCTAGGCCATGGGCCTTCTTGATCACCCATCGACCCCGTCCAGGTAAGTATTATAATTTGAGTAATGTTAATTTGGGAAGTTTTTCTTCTGCAGATCAAGAAAATTGATTGTCTACTGATTTTGTCAGTTACGGTTATGATTTTATGAGATGTTGAGGAGCAGCAGTACCTCAACTCTGCAACTGCTGCAGATTCTGCTAATCATATAAATATATATAAATATTCCTTTCAAGATTCATAAAATATTAACCATTTAAATATTTTTTCAAATTTTTAAAAAAAAAAGTGTCATTTTTTTTTAAATCTTTGCTCACTGATTCCAAAGAAACCCAAAAACAAACAAGAATTAATAATTAAAAGCCACAAATACTTAGGTGTGCCCTGGCACACCTAGCAAGGTGTGCCAGGGCCTTATGTGAAATACATCTCTTCTACAGGCGCGTGAGAGAGGTAAGGAGGTAAGTGTTTTTTTTTTAAATGGGACATGTGTCCCATTGTTATTGGGTAATGAATTTCATTTATCATATTATATAAATTCAATTATCATTCATATTTTGTATCAAAAAATAAAAATAATAATACCAAAATTCATAATTTTTCATTCTCTACAAATAGAGACCACATTTGATATTTTTTGGAACACAATTAATTTATCATTTTTTTACAATTAATTTATCTTATTAGAAGATTATCACGCAAATTTATAATTAGATGAATATGTTACATAGTAAAATGAACATGTTATAGAGTAAGATGAACATGTCATAGAATAAGATGAAAATGTTACATTTTCACAAATTAAATTTAGATGAACATGTTCTAAAGTAAGATGAACGTGTTACATAATAAAATAACATGTTATAGAATAAGATGAACATGTTTTATAATATAATGAACATGTTATAGAATAAGATGAACATGTTACATGCACAATAAGGTGAACATGTTACATAAATAAAATGAACATGTTATATAATAAGATGAACATGTTATAGAATAAGATGAACATGTTACATAATAAAATGAACATGTTATATAATAAGATGAACATGTTACATACACAATAAGGTGAACATGTTACGTAATAAAATGAACATATTAAATAATAAGATGAACATGTTACATGATTAAATGAACATGTTATAGAATAAGATGAACATGTTACATACACAATAAAGTGAACATGTGACAAAATAAGATGAATATGTATTGTTTCAATCTACAATCTGTAACATGTTCATCATATTTGAAAACATATTCATTTTATTGTGTAACATGTTCATTATATGTCAGTATAATAAAATAATTACGAAAAATTATGAAAAATTATGAAAAAAACGAAAAATTAGTTGTGCTCAAAAACCTATCAAATGTGGTCTCTATTTATAGATAATGAAAAATTATGAATTTTGGTATTTTTATTTTATTTTTTTAATATAAATAATTAATGATATTTTAATTTATGTAATATGTCCCATTTTTTAATTAAAAAGGAAAATTGGGGATGTGAATTACACTCTCCAAATTTCTCTAGTATTGAGGAGTTTTGGGAGTAAATGGGCGCGTGCAAATGTGCCCTGGCACACCACGGTAGTGGTACTGATTAAAAGCAGATATTTGAAAAAAAAAAAAAAAGAATAAAGGACATAAAGAAATATTCTTCTGAAACTGTACTTTTCAAATGTTTTCTGTTTATCCAAAAACACATACACAAGATCAGTAGAAAAAGTTCACATGTAGACTGATCATTCATTTGTCATGAGCCCAATAGTTTCTTGCCATATGATAAAGTATGATAAATGCCATATCATTTTTAAAAGTGATTTAATTATGTAATAAATATCATAATCATAATATTTTGTGGAAATTGTCACGGTTATGTTTTAAAAGTAATTTAAATTTTAATGTGTTTTTTGTTATTTTAATAAATAATAAGTAATATTATATTTCGGTGTAACTGTTACAATATTGCTACTACATATCCCTAGCATTTTTTTTTTTTTTTTACATAATATTATTGAAACGTGAGTATTTACGATGAGTGCGTTCAACAGTGTTATAACACAAATAATTTGTAAATTTTACTTTGGTTGCAACACCAGAAAACATTGAAATAGCTGAAACACAAAACAAGAGATGAAAAACACTTCAGGGAGCGTTCCACTCCCCTCAGAGATCTTTTATTGATAAACTGATCGTGCACAAGTGTATAGTTTAGACTTACAAAAACTAGAACTCCCTTCTAGCCTAGCCACAACTACATTCGATTCTACCAACTACTTCTCTGGCCACGTCCCGTGAAATTCACACTCTCGAATTCCTCAAGTATGACTCAGTACTTAATCCAGAAGACAAAAGTATTTGAATAAAATTAAAGAACTAAACGAAAGTAGACTTAGTTTTTCAGATTATATAAATAAATTGTATAATTCACTAATTGCATACAAAGTTATCGTTAATATATTGCAAATTTCATATTTATAGTTACTAAAATCTAAAAAATTATGCTAAGATGTAATTATTCTCAAATAACTTATTTAGCAATTCAATTATAAATGTGATACATATATAGTTAAATATAGACGTTATTATCTTTATACATAAGTTTATGCTATTTATTTAATTTTTTTTAATTATAATTTGCATAGGATAATTTACAGGCTAAACTTTGGCCAATTTCATTGATATCTTTTGAATTATGTGAACCTTACTTTAGAAATCATTAATAATACCCACACTTACACACACACACACACACACACTCATGTGTATTTCTCATCAATACCCAACAATTACACACACTCATGTGTGTGGTTTACGTGAGGCGTGTGGTGAACAGGCGGAGCACCACCGCGCATGCGCCATACCTTAAGGGCGGCGTAGAAATTGTCCGGCCGACACCCAAGTTTGTGATGAGCCAAATTAAATTGGTCACTCTCATAACTCATTTTTTCTTTGGTCAACTACTTTTTTTTTTTTTTTGGTACAGGGACCTTCCGGTTTTCGGATCCACAAGAGAACCGACTAATTCAGAATCGAGTCGGGTAGGACCACAAGGGCAGCAAAGCTCTCCCTCAAGAGTTTTAACACTGCTGCATTCCCAGGGCTCGAACTCGAAACCTCTGGTTAAACTGGAAGAGACCAAAGCCATCTCATCCAAGCGCTCTTGAGTTTTGGTCAACTACTTTAATTGATGATGAACTTAATTTTACAATAGAATTAAATGATCCTCATAATCTGTTTGTTGCCCTCGGCCCCCCTTTGCCAACCTGGCCATTCAACTCCAATTATGGCCCCATTTCTTGCATAATTGACAATATATGTAAATAATCCTCACCCCTTTAATTATCAATAGAGAAAAAAATAAAAAAAAATATATATATATTTTCAAATTAAAATATTATAACTCTAAAATTTAACATAATAATTAGTACGACATCTCATAATAGACATCTCAATGATATAATTAGTAGTGCTGTTAAATGAAACGAGTTTGGCTCGGCTCGAGCTCGTCTCGTTAAGGCTCGAGTTTGAGGCCTTACCGAGCCGAGCCGATAAGACTCAGGCTCGAAAATAAATTTTATATAATTTTTTATAGCTTGTTAAAGCTCGAGATCGCCTCGTTGAGGCCTTAACGAGCGGAGCTCGAACTCGATTTTAGGCTCGTTTACTTAACGAGCCGAGCTCGGCTCAGCTCGTTAAGAGCTCAAGCTCGAGCTTGAGTACCCTAAGCTCGAGCTCGATTCGATTCATTTATAACTCTAATAATTAGTACGACATCTCAAAAACTATAACGAGTCGATCTGCCTAATTATTAAACCGTGGTGTCACAATTAAGAAAAAAAGAAAGCATTTTGACATTAGGTTTTTGGAGAGCCGTGGGGGTTTTGTAAGGCTAATATCAACTTCCACAAACCGTGTAAAAGGGTGTGAATTTTTTTGTTGTTATTGCGCCGTAACATAAGGGCTTTTGTCACATGTAGTGCTTCAGAAAATGAATGTGATTTGGGGTCTACTTGTGAAGAAAAGGATATAGAGTTCATAATTATCCCTATGATGAACATAATGCTATGTATTTTCTTATTTTATTAGTACAATACTCATGTATTACACGGGTGCTTGCTAATTTTTTCTTAAAATCTAATTAAATTAATGAGAAAAAATAGTTTGAAAATTTAAATACCTTTTATAAGAAATATATATTATATATATTTATTATGACACTTTTTATTTGTGCAACTTACTTGTGTTATATTATACTAATTTTTTTTTAACTTACAATATATAACTACATTACATATAAATATATCAATTGAAAAATAATTTTATTTTTCTAATGAATTTCAATAAATATTATTATTTTTTATTATTATAAAGATAAAAATAATTTATTTATTTCATATATATACAATATGGATGTCAAATCGAAGATCATCAAAAGATGATTAATTTGATATATTATATATGTAAAATCGATAAG